TTAGATAGAGTAGCTGCATTTCTCTCTGGTGGCAGGGACAACACAGAAGAAGCTCTCCTCCCCTCTTTAGTTATACAATGATTCTGGCAACATGTTCATGAGCAGATGTACGGCATTTTTGACAAAAGATGCATTCCTGAAAGTTGCCTTGAAAGTGAATCTCTTTATTTCAAATCCTATGACCTTATTGGTTTGATTGGACTGCTTTTGTGCATTACTTAAAAAATTTGTCAGGTCCACCTCTTACTTGAGCTACTTGTGTGGCAACTAGTTCCTGTAGACTCTAATCTGCTTCATGCAGGGACAATTAGACTGAGACTGCTGTGGGCTCATGCCATGACTATGTACTGTTACCAAACAAAGTGGGTTCACCTCCTGGTGAGTTAAAATCAGACTCTCCACCAGAAGTAGTTGTCACACAAAGTGGAGTTTTTTTGCAGCAAATAGGAGACCATGAGGAATCATTTCCAAAGTTGGGATTCTCCCTGACTGCAGGGGCCTTTTATTTCAGATGGGGAATGAATACTCAAAAGGGAGAGGTGAGTATTCACATGCACAGACTCAGTTGGAAAACATGCTTCCACATATATTGCAGATATGGTAATAAGGCATAAGCTCCTCCCAGAGTGGAGATCTTAGCATTAAAAATAAGGCAAAGTTGGGGGCCAGCCCCAGTGGCCTAGCAGTTAAGTTCAGCGTGCTCCGCTTCAGCAGCCCAGGTTCAGTTCCTGGGCGTGGGCCTACACCGCTCTGTTAGCGGCCATGCTGTGCTTGTGGCCCACATACTAAAAAACAGAGGAAGATTGGCATGGATGTTAGCCCAGGGTGAGTCTTCCTCAGCAAAAAAAAAAGAGGCAAAGGTCATCTTTTGGGCACTTTTTGGCCCATCTGCATTGGCATCACCGTTGTGGTGAGGCTCGATCTGGTTTAGGGTTGTTGGTGATTGCATATCTTAACATAACAAAAAGAAGTGAAAAAAAAAAACAATTTGGAGAAACAGTTAAATGCTTCTGAAACCTCCCTTGAGTTCCTCAGGACAACTAGCCGGTGACAGTACCTCTCGTTTCTTGCCCTATGGCTTCTCTGATATCACATCATAGGATACTGCTCTGAACTACAGATATGCAACCCAGAAATTCAGGGGACTATACTCTCACTTGAGCCACCCTTGGCCAATGGGAGAGAGGAGCAGATGGATAAATGCTTCCTCTTTTGTTCCCAGGGAGGACACTTCTGAGATACAATTCGTAGGTCTCCTTGGAAGGTTGTAGTAGATCAGGCACTGGCTGCTCATGGGAATGGCCAGCTCAATAACTCATCCTTGTGTTGGCTTTGCTTTCTTCCTGTTTTGCTTCCCCTGTCCTGTATTTCTTGCTCCCCAGGAATCATATTCCAAAATAACCTACCTGCAAGGAAGTTTTTGCCTCTGGTTCTGCTTTGGTGGGAACGAAGGCTAAGATAATATTCTTATCTATAAAATAGGAGCTAGTGTTTTCTCTTGTTTCTTATCCTTTTTCATTAAAGCCTACCAACAGAGAGTTAAACATATAGAGAAGAAGCGTCTGTGAGTTTGGTGAGTGTGTGGGTGTGGGTGCATGTCTATGTTGGAGTGTGTAACAGCATTCTAAAGCCAGCTGCAATAATTATTGTGCTATCTACATAAAGAGATAGACAAATGGGTTATCCAAAAATCATTTATATTTGATATTAAGATGCACCCACTCCCCCATTTACTGATAGTCAAAACTCACCTTTCCTTTTCTATTCCTGGCTTCAAGTTCCTTGCAACTTGATACTTCTTCTATAACCTAGAGTCGTGTGGTATAATGGTGGGGAAAAGATCTTGGAGAATCTATAAAGCAGATAAACTGACCTGACTTATAAAGGTTAAATTGGAATTATTTGCTGCTTGGGATAATTCACATGTTATTCCCATCTATTAATGTGAATAATTAAGGATTGATTGAGTTGATAATGATGATATAATATGATTTCCCCTTACTTAAAACTGGAAACCTGTCCAATTAGCAGTTCCTAGTGGATACATTGTCAAAATGGCTATCAGGAGAGTGGTCCATATAATTTAGGGGGTCAAAGGGAAGGAGGTTAGAAGCACACTTTCTTAGGTGAAGTGGGCCCCCTCCAAATTCTAGAGCCTCAAGGTCATGGAGGGGGAATCCTGATGACCATTTGCATAATCAATATCTTGTGAAGGAATTTGTTCCCCTGCTGTGTTATTGTGATTTATAACAAATATATATTTGGCCTTCATCCCTTTCCTGGCACAGAGCCCCTAAAACCCTTGGAATTTCCTAAGTGAAGAGAAAGTTGTCTTATGTTATGTTAATGACATGACTTTTGGAAAACCCCTAGGTAACCTAAGGATTGGGGCTGGTTGCCAGGGAAACCAATCTTGTGATTAGAGGGTTGGAACTTTCAGTCTCACTACCACCACCCCCTCCAGGGAGGGGAGAGGGATTGGAGATTGAATTCAATCATCAATGGCCAGTGATTTAATTAAACATGTCTATGTAATGAAGCCTCCATAAAAATCTAAAAGGATGAGGTTTAGAGAGCTTCCAGGTTTTTGAACACATGGAGGTGTTGGGAGAGTGGTGCACCCAGAGGGAGCACGGAAGCTCTGAGCCCCTTCCCACGTACCTCGCCCTATGTCCTTTTTTGTCTGGCTGTTCATCTGTATCCTTTATAACAAACTGGCAAACGTAAGTAAATGTTTCTGAGTTCTATGAGCTGATCTATCAAATTACTTGAACCAGAGGAGTGGGTCGCAGGAACCTCTGATCTATAGCCAGTGGGTCAGAAGTACAGGTGACAACCTGGGCTTTCGATTGGCTTCTGAAGTGGCAGGAGGAGGTGCAGTTTTATGGGACTGAGCCCTTAACCTTTGGGATCTGACGCTATCTCCAGGTAGATAGTGTCAGAATTGAGTTAAATTGTAGGACACCTAGTCACCATCTGCTGAGAACTGGAGAATTGCTTGGTGTTAGTGGAAAAAACACACATTGGACCTGCCCAGGAAAATAGAATCCTATCAAAATCCCAAAGGAATAGCCATGCTATTAGAGAGCTTTGGAGGAAAGGATCCCTAAAATTTTGCCATCTACTGGGGATGCTGAAATTGGGATTCTAGTCACTTGGTAGCATGCTTCAAATGATTTTTATCCTATTATTGCTCCTTTCTGAGTAACCAGCGGATACCCTGTGGATTCTGGTATCCTTTTGCCAGGACAAGCAAAAATTAGAGAAAATCTGGAATCGCCCGTTTTCTTGTGGTTGCATTACATAGGTAGTCATCATGGAATCGCTTCAATCTTCTGCTGTTCAACTTTGATCATTTTATTTCCTTTGATGAATCATAAGCAACCATGATTGCACATATGTTCCCTTTTGAGTTCTTTCAATAATATACAAGTTGGATAAAGAATTTTAGGGCCGGCCCCGTGGCTTAGCGGTTAAGTGCGTGCGCTTCGCTGTCGGCAGCCCGGGTTCGGATCCCGGGTGCGCACCGAGGCACCGCTCCTCC